CATCACCAATTTGTCGATGGCTGGCTTCTGCTATGGTACTTGCAACCGGGTACTCACCCTTGAGAACGTACCGTGAGGTTCGGTATGAATGATTCTATTTAGGATTCAACTGGATGGATCGAGTGTTGTGCAAATTTGTGTTTTCAAAGCATTTTGTGGGGTCCGCCTACCTTTGGGGGCAGTGTGTTGTAATCCTCGCACCGCTAAGCTTCACCGTGTCAGGTCTCATTCAGTGAGAAAAGACCCAGGGCTAGCTGGCTGACTCTATCCATTGTTTGGAGGGGAGTCTGGTCCTCCCACCACTCTATGGGGAAGTTAGGACCAAAGTCCGGACCTCCATAAAATCCTCCAGCCCTTATGGGGAATTTTGCGCGAGCTCTGTGCCGCAGCAATTTGCCACACCACCAGCAGTTCTCAAATAATGTCTGGGCCAATTTCTATTTCAACAGAACCACGAAATCTCATCATCTCCCGTTTTCTGCCAATAGAAAATTCCTGCATTCATCGTGTGAGTCGATGTGGCATTTCGTCACTCGTGTGGTGATGGCAGGTGTTTGACTCCCAAATCCTATCATATCAGAAAAAGCAGGGTTCTTACTGATTGCTACCAGTGTTTTTAGGATAATAATTGAGAATCTCACAGCTGCCGTTGCCTTCCTGGGACAAGACGTGTCTTTGCTAAACAAGCCTGATTTTGAAAGAAGTTGCAGATTTGACTCAAAATCGCACGGAATGTTTTGTTGCGTAGCACTTAAAAGCCACACTTAATAGGCTACTATCTACAGTTTGCTGGAGAAATTCGGCGATCACAGGAAGGAATAGCCCGCTTTTCCATACTTCCTATTTTTATGCCAAGGTTCCGGTTTGAGACAGAGGTAAGACACCCGTTCTCAAACATTTCTGCTCAGATGATGCCATAACTCGACAACTGACAGCCAGAAATCACTCGAATCACGCGAGCAACTCGATGAGAGGAGAGAAGCTCCCGTCTTGTCTTGTCTTGTATTGTCTTGTCTTGTCCCTCCCTACACAAGCCTTCCAGTGGACTTATCCAACAGAGTTAGTTAACCATGTTGTGGGAGGAAAGTTGGCCTCACTGTAACACGTTCAAGTGCCTGAACTGAATCTTCCAGAGACGTTCCACATTGCTTCTCAGACTTGGCAAGTGGTAAGAGTGGCAGTGGTGGCATGCGTCTTTCGTGGTACGTGCAGCAAGACCCATGATGCTTTGCGACGAGCGTCGATAAAAACAACCACGACAGCCGGAATTGGCTCCTACGCGTGCGTCACGCGGTCGTTCATTCCTGGCAGAAGGCATCATTCACAGCATTGGACCCGTCTTCACGTGGCCTAAGAAATGGGTCGTCGAGACGCGCAAGCTCGTTTTACTAAAACTGCTTGAAGCAGCGAGAAGATAATTTCTTGGCAATACACGAAACTCGTCGCATCCCGCGGCCCGGCTGTGCCGCGGTATTCTTTTCAAAACGAAGCTTTGCGGTACACCGTCACGGTACGCCGAGTCACTCAACGGCATTCTATATTCGATTCGCCGCGTGATGAATGATGATCGCCGGCCACCAGCACTGGCGGAGGCGGGAGTCAGTCTGCGCGGCGAATATGCAGCCGACGGCGGCAGCGGAGTCCCCCTCCCCCCAGCGGAATCTGCAGACGCGGCGTCTCCGCTCGAGACCGTCGACCTCTCAGCGCGAATCCCCACTAGAGGAGCGATGACCGCAGCTGAAGCCGCAACGTCAGCGCAATGCACCGGCGGCGCGGGAAGCACTCCTACTATCGCCAACCGAAACGCCGCCGCGGGAAACGCGGCGGCGTTGCTAATAAGCAGCTCTCCGAGCAGACACGGATTTTTGCGGCCCACACCAGGGCTCGATCGCGCGACCTTTCCACTTTGGATGCTCGGATCTGCAACTGCGATGCCAGTGGATCATAATAGGGGGGTTGCTGCCAGTTATTCTAGTATCGGCGACGTTGTCCCTTCGCCTGCAACAGCGGCGGCGGCGCGGGATTCGGTGCTCGCCGCCAGCGGGACCGCCGCCGCATTGCCGCTTGCGCCCTTCGCGTCCGCCATGGACGCTCTCCGCGCGACGTCCCACCGCACGTGGGAGGCGGCGGCGGCGGAGGCGCGCAGCGCGGCCGATTTGCCTTCAGCAGCGGAAGATCGTTCGGCGCAACAAAGCGGACTCGACGGCGGAAGCAGCAGCGTCGCATTGCTAGATCTTGCAATGCAGGCGGCAATGCAGCCTGTTTTTTCAGGCGCACAGCGCCCTTTGTTCCTTTCCCCCTTCCGCGCACCTACTAGTATGCTACCTATGACCTTTTCAATAGCTTCCAACATCGATGCTAGCGCCTCCGCCGCTTCCGCCGACGCTGCAACGCCCGCCCCGGGGCCGCCGCACCTACCATTCCCCCCTCAGATCTCGCGCCTGTCCGCGGAATCTTGCGCCTCTCCGCCCCAGTTCTCCGCCGATCCGCGCTTGTTCCTCACGCGGCTAACCCAACTGCAAGCCGCCGGCACCGTCGGCGCAGCCGCTGGCTCCGCCTTCGCCGCCTCCGCCTTCGCCGCCTCCGCCTCCGCAGGTGAACCCGGCGGTGCTGTTGCAGCGCACGCCGCCGCCGCCGCCGTTGCAGAGGGGGAACTCCGCACTGCAAGCCTTATGGATGAGGGGAAGCGGGAAGAAGGGGGAGGGGTGGTGGCGGTACGAAGTAAGGGGGAATGGGGCGAGGGGCATGATTGTGATGGGAGAGGTGGCGGTGACCAGGGCGGCATGGATGACGAGGACACAATGATGAAGGCAGAGAGTGATGCTGACGTGACAAGTGGTGACAACAGCGGTGGCGGTTGCAGTGAAGATGAGGAAAACGATGGGCATGGGGGGGATGAGGGGCATGGGGGACAGCAGGGGCTGGAGAGGCATGCGGGACATGGGGGGCATGGGGAGCATGGAGGGAACGGTAGGGGGCATGGGGGGCACGAAGAAAAAGCAGGGGAAGAGGTGAAAGGGCAACTGCAGCAGTCGCGGCAAGCTAGACAAACGCAGAATCAGCGTGGGCCTCAAAGGCTTTCCCGCGGCTCCAATAGGGCGGCCAGTGGTCCTCACCAGACAAGGTACGTTGGTGGGGTGCGCATTTTGAAAGGCCGAAAGGGGAACGGCTGATGCATTCTTTGCTCGCTTGCGCTCCTACCTAATTCGAAATTTCTCGTTGAAACTTTGGTTGCTGCGCAACGGGCACGAATTACCACATGGCATGGCACGGCATGGCATGGCATGGCTTTGCAATGCATGCCTGCATGGCATGGCATGGCATGGCATGGCATGGCATGGCATGGGCGTGCAGGAAGCGCAAGCCAGTGGTGCATGCAGGGAGCCGCTCAGTGGTGGCAGAGGATGGCTATTTTTGGCACAAGTACGGCCAGAAGACTGTCATGGACCACGCAGTTACCAGGTAACTTGTGCTTTGTTATGCCCGTGTAGTGACGTGCTTCTACTAGTGGGTGGGCTCCTCGCACAAGCACGGCCAGAAGACCGTCATGGACTGCGCAGTTACCAGGTAACCTTTGGCACAAGCACAGCCAGAAAGCTGCTGTGGATGACATGTGGTTACCAGGTAGGCCAAAAGTGTGATGTGCTGAACTTGACGCAACTTTTGAGTCGACTCAAAAGCCAGAAGTGTGATGTGCTGAACTGACGCAACCCTGACCATGAAACCTGAACGTCCGGAACTCGAAACTTGACATGCAACTTGAACTCCTTTGACATCCTCGGATCAACTCGCAACCAATCTCCCCCTCCCCTCCTCTTTTCCCTTCCCCTTCCATTCCAAGGGCGTATTTCCGGTGTGCCCGCCACAGCATGGGCTGCCAGGCCAAGAAAACCATCGACTCGCCCCTCGTGCTTGACCCTGCTACAGCCGCTGCCACAACCGCTGCTACAGCCGCTGCAGATACACACACGACTGCTTCTGATCCATCCTCCCCTGCCACGAGCCCTAGAGCCACTTCGGGCGGAGCTACAGCCAAGGCAGAACCCTGCACACATGCATCCGGCGCTACGGCCGGCGCTACAGCTGTCGTTACAGCCGGTGCTGCCTCTGCCACTCAAAGCAACAGCACTGGCACTCCGAGAAAACCATCAGCTGCATCTGCTGCCGCTGCTTCTGCTGCTGCTAGTGCTGCTCCTGACACTGCTGGTGGTGCGGGTGGCGGCGGAAACAACAGCGGCAGCACCGGCAGCAGCATCAGCGTCGTATACCATGGAACACACAACCATGCCAAGCCCGGTGCCAGTGCCTCAGAAGCTTTCACCCGAGTCATACGCGTTCCCACCTCCCTCCATCCATCTCTCTCCGCCTCATTCCCTCCCTCCCCGCTCCCCAATTCGCTCTCTTCCCCACTCCCTCCCGCTTTCTCTGTCTCATTCCCTCGCTCGCTCTCTGCCAACGTCCCTTCTTCGCTTGTGAGCTCACAGGGAGCAGCAGTAGGAAGCGGATCAGCAAGAGCAGCCGGCTTGGGAGGAACAGAAGCAGCAGCAGCAGCAGCAGGAGCAGTAGGAGGGGCGGGGAGGGCACAAGGAATGACAGAAGAAGCAAAAGGACTACAGGGGAGGTCAGGCGAAGCAGGCATGGTGCTGAGCCCTCATCAGACCATCAAGAGGGCTGCATCTGACGGCTCACATGCAGCCTCCCGTGTTCACATGCTCTCAGCCTCACTGGCCCTTAACCCTGCCCAAGGCACTTCTACACTCTTCGCTGCAGCCGCGGCAGCAGCAGCGGCAGCCGCTGCCGCGGCAACGATGGCAGCACCAGCAGGTGGTGTTGGTGGCGCTGCTTCTGGTGCTGCTGCTGCTGCTGCTGCTGCTGCAGCGGCCCCTGCCGGGCCTTTTTTCTCACCCCTGGTTACCTCTCTTCACCGCTCTGGAAACCCTGTCGCGGACGCGTCAATGAGGGGCTTGCCATCAATCGCAGGCAGCTCAGTTTTGCCGCACATGGGGGTATCTGGCGGACCTTTTTGCGCATCTGGGGGAAAGTTTGACTCGCCTGTGGCTCCCTTTGGCTCCCTAGCCATGCTGCAAGCAGTGCAGATGCAGCAGTCTCAGCTACAGCAGTCCCAGCTACAACAGTCTCAGCTACAGCAGTCCCAACCACAGCCGGCACTGCAACATCCGTTCATGCAGCCACCACCACACTTCCAGCCGTCCTCGTTTCAAACATCTTCGATTCAAGCACCTGTGTTTCAGTCCACGGCTCAAGTAATACATCATCTGAACAACCCGAATCCGTTTGTGGCGTCAGCAGTTCCCCTTTCCACATCAGCATTCCCTGTGACACAGTCAGATGCCCTCATGCCACATCAGCAACCAGCCTTCTTATCCCCCCTTTCCCAACAACAGCAACAACAGCAGCAACAGCAGCAGCAGCAGCAGCAGCAGCAGCAGCAGCAGCAAGCCAACCAATCGGCTGCCCACACACTCCCCCTGTCAACACCGCCATCCAGTGGGACCATCATGGCACCGCCTCCACCCCAATTGTCCCGACCAGCGAGCTTCGAGGCGTCAAGCCAGGTCTCAAACCGGCCTGTGCTGCCTTTTGAGGCGCCTCAAAAGGCGTCAAGCCAGGTCTCAAACCGGCCTGTGCTGCCGGCTGCACACACGCACCCTACAAGTGCACCCTTTGATTGGCCGCTTCAGTCGGCTCAAAGCCAACCCACTCAGAACCAGGGGATTCACAACCTGCCTCTGATGCTTTCCCCCCTTGCACCCCTTGCCCCCCTCGCACCCCTTGCGCACCCGCCTCGGCCAACTAGCGGGCAATCTAGCTCCACATCCTCTCTCCCCCCCAATGATGTCATCAGCCCCTCCTCCTGCTCCAACCCCTCCCCTCGCAATGTCCCTGCTGGCGTCACCATGGCTGTAGCTGCTGACGTCCTCACACTTGCAGGAGTGGGGTCGGGGGTGGTTGGGGTGGGAGGAGGAGGGGGAGGAGGGGCAGCAGCAGCAGCAGGCGCGGTGGGTGCGGCAAGGGGAAGCAGTGAGAGCTTTGCAAGAGCGGCGGGAGCACATGCAGGACGAGTGGGACGAGTGGGACAAGTGGGACGAGTGGGACAAGTGGGAGCAAGAGATGAAACGAACGGGAGTGGGTTGCTGCCGCCCGGAAAATCAGAGCCACGAGATGAAGCCGGGAGAGGGGCAGTTGGCGAGCCTTCAGCTCCTTCCCTCCTCTCTCTCTCCCTCCGCCCCTCCCCTCTCACCTCACCACCTCAAGCCCCCGCACTGCCAAACCCCCTACTTCTCTCTCCTTCCCATAAGCCCCTTGTCGACTCACACAGCAATCACCATAACAATCCCAGTGAGAAAATTCACGAGAGTTCCGATAATCAGCCCCACCCATCCCATCGCCCGCGCTTTCCCAGTGGGCCAATCTCAGCCATCCTTTCGGCCTCTGCTGCCCACCTGCCCTCCTTCTCCTCCTTCTCCCACCATTCCTCCGCACCCCCCAACCCCACCCTCGCTCCGCAACTGCCCTCCTCCTCTCATCATCCCTCCGCCCCCCAACTGCCCTCTTTCTCCTCCCTGTGGCTGCAAGCACATGGTGCCACCCACGCTTCTCCCCATAACCCCACCGCTCCTTACAGTCACACCTCTGGTTACCACCAGCCTACCACTGAAAGCCCAGGGCAGGGGTCAATTCCATGGAAGGGCCCTGCAGGGCACACACGCGAGGGGAAGCGTGAGAACGAGGGCGAGGGGAGCCCTTCTGGCCGAGTGCCTTGCTTCCAGACGGCGGGAATGAAGGGTGAAATGACACAGTATGTGACTTCGTCAGGAGTTTTTGCTGCCGCCGGTGCTGCTGCTGCTGCTGCTGCTGCTGCTGCTGCTGCTTCTGCCTCTGCTGCCGGTGGTGCTGATGGTGCTGGTGGTGTTGCTGCTACTGGTGCTGACACGTGCGGTTCCAGAGGGGACGTTACTCCTGACGTGAGTCAGCTCTTGAAGAGGATACGGGTGGAGTGGAGCACTGGTAAGGGAGACATAAGAACTGAGGATGGGTCTCAGCGGACCAGGGCTCTTGCGCTTAGGGGCAGGAGGGCAGGAGCGGGAGGAGAAGCAGATAACGGTAGTGAGCGCAGGGATGAGAAGCGAGGCGAGATTGGGGGAGAGAGGGGGATAGAGTGGAGCGGTGAGGGGGAGCAGGGGAAGAAGGCTTTGAGTGCGGTGGGAAGCGGTGCTAGAAGACATTTATTTCAACGTGGGGAGGATGGGAGAGGTCTTGGGGACAGACAGCAGCAGCAGCCGCAGCTGCAGCCGCTGCAGCAGCAGATGGTGGCAGAGGCGCGGACAACCCAGCAATGCCAGCAAGGGATGCAGCAAGAACGGCAGCAGGGGTTGCATCAACAGCAGGAAGTGCAGCAATCAGGACAGCAGCAGGAGATGACGAAGCAATTGCAGCAGCAGCAGCAGCAGGAGCAGCAGCAGCAGCCAGGGCAGAAAAAGCAGTGTGTTGATCTGGAGCTCAGACTCTGACACGTGGCAACTTGCACCTCGAATCTGGGTTGATAGCTTTATCAGGTGCCACGGATTGGACTTCACAGTTGGCGTAGCAGGAAGCTGAATCGGACGGAGGAGAGTGGTTTGATAAGTACGAGAATCATCTCAGGTTAGGAGAATGATTTGAGATTAGGAAAATGAGCTGAAATTTAGGCGGTTCAAAAATAGGAGTGATTTGAGAGTAGGAGATGCTTTGCAAATATGATAATTTTTGAAAGTGTTATGAAATGTAACACTTTATAAATTTTTGTATTGTGAAAAGGGGTACCTCGCCAACACAGCAAAGGCAGCACCGAAGTGCTACTCACCCTCTTTGCCTACAAAAGAGGGAAGTGGGGACATTCGTCCCCGCCCACGTTTTCATTTCCGAAATTGTAGTTCTAATTTCCCACCCGCCCACCCATTTGTGTATGCTGTTCTGTAGACCTATATATGACGAGAAAGATGTACTACAAGCCATATGAAATGATAAAGCTGCCTTTGCAAGTCAACCTAAGTAGACTTTCACAATAGGAGAGCGATTTGGGGAAGTACCGTATGATTTAGGTAAGTTCTAGACCTAAGGTATCTGTTGTCAATTACCTGCGCGTACACTAACAAATGATGCTGATGGTTCTTGGTGCTGTCAATTCTCAGCACCATGAAGCAGCCAATACTCTACTGCCGCAAATCTTGAAGCTCGGCGCTTCTGCTCTGCTCGTCGCACAACACCTCAACAAAACCAGCAAGGTACCTCGTATTTTTTTTTTTTTTTTTTTTTCAGGTGAGCAGCGGGGCGTTGGGGGCGACGGCGGTGCTCTCTGTCTTGCCGCGGCAGGTGCCAAGGGTTTGGTGTTCCAAAAACTTCCCTCGATCGCAATCCGCATCTCTCTTTCCCCATCCCCACCCCAACCACAGACATCCATTTTTCCCTATGTGTTGCCCCACTCACGAAGAAGCACATGAGTAAAAGAACCCAAATGCAACACACATAGAACCCCCCCTCAAGATACCCAATCAAAACGCCGAGTCAAGACACCCCATCAAGACATCCCATCCCACACCCCACCCCCCCCCCCCCCCCCCCCCCCCCCCCTTCAATCACAACAGCGTATCGACCATGTACGGGGCCTCTACCCAAAGATCCCCGCCTTCCACATCGACATCGTCCCTCTCCCGGTCCACCAAATCTACGTTAATCCCCCCCATGGAAGACGCCGCTCGAAGCAGGATGACACGGGCTTGCGCACGTTGTAACATAGCTAACGAGCCTTGCCATGCTTCATGGCTCCAGTAGCTGTAGGAGTAATTAGATGAGCGACGGAAATAATTTACACAATGAACGGAACGGCCAATTTCTAATTCTTGATTCACCCATCCTCACTCTGAGCTTCGATAAGCTTTCCGGTGAAGGCCCTGCTGCAACAAGAAACCTGCGACGGTGGTGGAAATGTGCCGGCTACAAGATGCATGCAGAAATAACACCGCGATTTCGGAGCAAAGAAAAAGCTGGATACACTCTGATCGGCAGAAAACGAATCGGGCCCCACTTTGACGGGAAGTTATGGCGAGTACATGCTTCTGACGCGGTCTGAGACGGTTTACTACTTTTGGGAACGGTTTAATTTATCACCGTTTCGGACCACTGCACACCGGGATGGAACATTCAATCTGACCCGCCTTCGTTGCTCTTGATGGAGAAGCTATTACCAAATCGCACTTGCGCCCCGCAAGCGCATCAGGTGTTCTGCTCTCATCTCATCCCCTCTTACACCAAGAAAACACCCATATCCGTCTGTGTCTTGGGATCAGCTTGTTGATTCCTCTATCTCCCCAGGATCGAATCCTCGAGGCGGTTGATTCTGGTTCTCAGGATTGACTCGACTCGAGGTGGAGCATTCACCCTCCCTTGAATCGGTGCCACTCCGCCTCGTATCACCTTCGCAGTTATCCTCGTTCCGTCTCCACCATTCCTTAAGACCTCCCCCCCGCCGCCGCCGCCGCCGCTCCCGGTGCCTTCGCTATCACGCAACTCGTTATATTCGCTGGACATGCGTTGACTTTCGTTGACTTCCGTTGACTCCCGTTGATCTGCGCGCACACGCTGCATGGCCGATGGCGTCGGCGCGCCACGTGCTGCGTAACGCGCTCTCCGCGTTCCGCTCCCGCATCCGCGAGTCGAGCACTCTCATCAACCCCCGTTACAAGCACGTTTTGCAAGCCACCAGTAGTTCACCCACATCAAGCTCCTTCCCCCCGTTAGTAGATCGAGCCGCCATCTCGCCGCAGTTTCACCACCAAAGCCCCCTCTACCTTCGTTATAGCAACCCGTTGCCTTCCCCGCACCCGCGCGCGTTCTTCCCTCACGCTTCAGTCACATCCGCGCAACATTCTAACGCAGGTCTCGACGTTAGTATAGTCACACCCGTGCAGCAGCTGCATTCGCCAGCCTGCTGGCGGGTGACGTGGCATCCGCAGAGCACACGCCAAGGGGTTGCTGTAGTCGCGCTGGTGGGCTGCAGTGCCACGTCAGCAGCATCTGCGTTGTTCCATCATGGTGATTCCCTCGCCTCTTCTGCACGCGGCTTGCACTTCTGCTTTTGAGTCGACTCAAAAATAGGCTTTCTTGCACGCGGGCTGCACAGATGACCACTTCATTTGTGCATCCCACTCGTGCTGCTTGCTTTCTATATCTCTCAAGAGCCGAGGAACCACCCACCCTCACCCCCATACTCCCCCGCCCCCCATACTCCCCCTCCCCCCCTCCCTCGACCTCCCGCACCCCCCCTCTCATCTGTCTCTTCTTCCGTCCTCTCCCTTAACCCCCATTCCCTCCATCTTCCCTGCTTCTAAATCCGCATATTTATCCCCCGTTACAGGCATCTCCGTTCTCTCTCAAGAGACCAAACCAGCCGAACCAACCAGCCAGAGCCAGCAGCAGCAGCAGCAGCAACCCCAGGCAGCCCGGCAGCTGCCGAACCAGCAGAATCAGCAGGCTCGGCGGAGGTTCGGAGCGAGCGGGCCAACAGGGAGGCAGGCAGAGGCGAATAAGTCCCATCTAATGTACTTAATAGCTGCCGCGCTGGCCATGCTGGGTGCTGCCTATGCCTCCGTGCCCCTCTACCGCCTCTTCTGTCAAGCCACTGGGTTTGGGGGGACGACGCAGAGGAAAGAGGTGCGGGGGGTAGGAGGAATGGGGGAAAGAGTGGGGGCCGGGGTTGATTGAAGGGGGGAAGAAAGGGGACTGAAAGGTGTTGGTTGGCGAGGGAGGGGTAACCTCTCAGTCATCTGCTCGTGCTTCTTCCGTTTTGACTGTTTCGTCTCATGCCGCATTGACTGAATCACTATTCTCACTCTTCTCATTTGTCTCGTTGTTGGCTGGCTGCGACTAAATTGCGCAGACAGTGGAGGAGAAGGGTGCGCGGCAGAATGCAGACAACAGTGTCTGTGTGTTCGGAAGCGTGTTGTGTTGCTCCGTGCTGCCCTCACCTCACCTCACGCTGCTCTTCCCCTGCTCTCCCTCTGCCTTCCCTCTGCGTGTCACTGAGTCTTGCAGACGGTGGAGGAGAAGGTGGCACGGCAGAGTGCAGACAACACTGCAGCGCCTGCCAGGTACGTTGCTGTGGTTAGGGTCCTGCTTGCTTCACCTCTCCTCACCTTTGCTCACCTCCCAGTAACTCATACTGCTCATCGCACCTACTTGTTTTAATCGCAATCAATCCTAATCAGGCATAGCTACACGTTGTCGCCTCGTCCCATTCCCTCTTCTTTTCAAAACCCCTTAATATTTTCATCCGTTCTACGTGACTGCTGTCTCCCTGGTTGTGCTTTCCCCGCCAAACGTAAACTGCAGGGAGCTGGTGATTCATTTCAATGCTGACGTGGCAGAGGGACTGCCGTGGCGCTTCATCCCCACACAGAGAGAGGTGGGTGTGACGCGTGGCATGCTGATATGCCACCATCACATCATGGCACATCTCATAATGAGATGCCCAATGTGGCTGGGACTGTGCATGGCGTGGCATGACATGGCATGGGATTGGATGGCATTTCATAACATGGCATGGCATGGGATCGGTAGGGTTGGGGTCCTGCATGGCATAACAACAAGGGAGACGGCAGTCACATTGCACACTACTCTGCCTCGCCTGCTGCTTTATCAATGTGCTATATACCTGCCTGCTCTCTGCTGCTGCCACTTTGAGTTTTGAGACGTCTTTAAACAAAAACTTGAGACGTCTCTCAAAACTCTGCTGCGTCATCAATGTGGCACATACCTGCGTGCTCTCTGATGCTGCCACAACTCACTTTGCCAATTCTCCACGTGCCATTTGTCCCGAACCTCTCGCACAGGTTCGGGTGAGGCCCGGCCAGAGCACGCTCGCGTTCTACACAGCGCACAACAAGAGTGATAAGCCCATCACGGGCGTCAGCACCTACAACGTCTCTCCCATGAAGGTGTGTGTGCGCCACTCGTGGTGTGCTGCTCTTGGTGTGCCGCCCATAGTGTCCGCCCATGTCTTGAATGTGTGTTTGCCGCGTCAACTCAAAGCACAACAAGAGTGACAAGCCCATCACAGGCGTCAGCACCTACAACGTCTCTCCCATGAAGGTGCGAGCCACTCATGGTGTGCCACTCATGGTGTGCTGGTGTGACATGCATGGTGTGCTGGTGTGACACGCATGGTGTGCTGGTGTGACATGCATGGTGTGCTGGTGTGACACGCATGGTGTGCTGGTGTGACACGCATGGTGTGCTGGTGTGACATGCATGGTGTGCTGGTGTGACACGCATGGTGTGCTGGTGTGACACGCATGGTGTGCTGGTGTGACATGCATGGTGTGCTGGTGTGACACGCATGGTGTGCTGGTGTGACACGCATGGTGTGCTGGTGTGACATGCATGGTGTGCTGGTGTGCCACGCATGGTGTGTTGGTGTGCCGCCCATATCTTGAATGTGTGCCGCCCATATCTTGAATGTGTGCCGCCCATATCTTGAATGTGTGCCGCCCATATCTTGAATGTGTGCCGCCCATTTCTTGAATGCATACTTCTACTTTCAACAATATATAGTGCTTCTGCTTCACTTCCACCCTCTCCCCTTCCTTGTCCCCACCTACCTGCCACTGCACCAGTTGGCATCTATTTCAACACGATCCAGTGCTTCTGCTCCTTCCCCTCCTCACCCCAACCTTTCCCCCCACAGGCGGGCATCTATTTCAACAAGATCCAGTGCTTCTGCTTCGAGGAACAGCGCCTTCAGCCCAGAGAGACCATTGACATGCCTGTGAGTGAGAGAGACCATTGACATGCCTGTGAGTGAGAGAGACCATTGACATGCCTGTGGGTGAGAGAGACCATTGACATGCCTGTGAGTGAGAGAGACCATTGACATGCCTGTGAGTGAGAGAGACCATTGACATGCCTGTGAGTGAGAGAGACCATTGACATGCCTGTGAGTGAGAGAGACCATTGACATGCCTGTGAGTGAGAGAGACCATTGACATGCCTGTGAGTGAGAGAGACCATTGACATGCCTGTGAGTGAGAGAGACCATTGACATGCCTGTGAGTGAGAGGAGCGACCCCAAGAGAGGGACACGCCTGCGAGAGGGGCACGCCTGTGAGAGGGGCACGCCTGTGAGAGGGGCAGACATGATGGCATGAGTTATGTGGCATGCATGATGGCATGAGTTATGCGGCATGCATGATGGCATGAGTTATGCGGCATGCATGATGGCATGAGTTATGCGGCATGCATGATGGCATGAGTTATGTGGCATGCATGATGGCATGAGTTATGTGGCATGCATGATGGCACGAGTTATGTGGCATGCATGATGGCATGAGTTATGTGGCATGCATGATGGCACGAGTTATGTGGCATGCATGATGGCATGAGTTATGTGGCATGCATGATGGCACGAGTTATGTGGCATGCATGATGGCATGAGTTATGTGGCATGCATGATGGCACGAGTTATGTGGCATGCATGATGGCACAAGTTATGTGGCATGCATGATGGCATGAGTTATGTGGCATGCATAATGGCACGAGTTATGTGGCATGCATGATGGCATGAGTTATGTGGCATGCATGATGGCATGAGTTATGTGGCATGCATGATGGCACGAGTTATGTGGCATGCATGATGGCATGAGTTATGTGGCATGCATGATGGCACGACTTATGTGGCATGCATGATGGCACGACTTATGTGGCATGCATGATGGCACGAGTTATGTGGCATGCATGATGGCATGAGTTATGTGGCATGCATGCTGGCATGAGTTATGTGGCATGCATGATGGGCCACCATCACCAACTGTTCATCCCCCTCCCATCCCTACACTGCCACTCCACCCGCTCACCACCACCCACCAGGTGTTTTTCTACATCGATCCAGAGTTTGCCAGCGACCCACAGATGAGTCACCACTTGTGCCACCCATGCAACCCCCCTTGCGTCCCTCCCTCCACGCACTCTCCTCCACCCACTTGGTGCCACCCATCAGGTGTTTTTCTACATCGATCCAGAGTTTGCCACCGACCTACAGATGAAGAACGTGAACCATCTCACCCTCTCCTACACCTTCTTCCGTGTTGACTCGCCGTGATTGACTTCTGTTGACTTGCGTTTACCTGCACTGATTGGTTGCTGTTGACCTGTGCTATCACCCTGAAAATAGAGAGCACTAACAAAATGGCTCCACTTCAATTTGTGTGTGCACTAAATATTTAGTGGATCTCTAGTTTGAGTGCACAGCTTGACCTCCTAAATTTTACAGATGTGGAAAAAGTCATTACACAATGCATGTGAAAAGAAATATAACAAAAAAAAAACATACAACATAAGGCTACTTTACAGGAACTAGCCTCTGAATAATATTATACAGGAACTCTGACCATGTATCTTCCGGTCCCGGCAAGCAGTAATGCAAGCAGTCCATTTTCTCAACAAACCCTCTATGCCCGTCAGGTCTCAAGGCACTTAAATGATCAACATCCATGAACACGCCCCCCATTGCCTCCACTATGGGCCGCACCGCCTCGTTTTGCGCCTTGAATTCCCCCCAATGAAAGGGTAAATCGCTCCCGTTTTGCCGCTTTAAAAGGGGCTTGTTGTAGTCCTTGCAGTTGAGATGACCAGTGGCCGTCGCCCGGTAAATGATCAGCTTCTCGGGGTAATTATACCGGAGAAATTGCAGCGCACGCGACACCGACAACACGACATGCCCCGTGGATTTAAAATGTGCGCCTCGATTCAACAGCACCACATGAGCCCCCTTAATCTCCTCACTCTCCATCCACGGCGTGCTAATCCATCGCACACGGTCCCTCTTCTCCTCCCACACAGGCACAAGCCGCCGGTTGGCAATGTAGTGCACCACCAGCTTTCCACACCCGCCGTCATCCACATCATCAAATCGGTATGTCGCTCGGGTGAAATAATCTCCTTTTTTTCGCAACATCTGCGCCACCCACGCCGCGCTGTCCTCTCTGGTTACCACGCTCGCTGGCTTCCGCACGTGTGTTACAATGCTATGTACAAAAGAGATGTGTGCCTCCCGGGTCAGTGAGTCCCCGACAAAGGCAATTCTCAGCCCGCCGACCCTCCGCCGAGCCAGCTCGCACAGCGCCCGCCCGTCGAACCTAGAGAACAGCTCGTCAGGTTCAGAAACTTCCGAACCTGGAACAGCCTGGGCTCGGGCGCCTAGCTTTGCACGAACCACGCGCAGACACCTCTCCTTGGCAACCCCCCACTGGTACTTCAACGCATCCCTCACCTTCCACGCCTTCTCCCGCTCCTCCCCACCCATCTCCTGATCCAAAGCGACAGCGTCGGCAGCAGCTCCAGCCAAGCCTCCGTTCTCCCGGACGTGGAACAGGTCGCAGTTGTCAAAGCCTCGTTCGGCCCAGGGCAGCACCCGCGGGGTGGCATTGAAGCGCCACTCCCCGCTCTCCGCCACACACGCCGCCCACCGCCTAAACTCCGCCACCTCTCCCGTGCCCCTCTGCAGTCTCGATCCCGGGATGAAATCGCTGAAATTGCCGAACCTGGATCCTTGGTTCCGGATCAGGCTCGGCTCCAAGAAATCCCTGAACCTGGTGGCCGCTTCGGCGAAGTCACTAGGTCTGGCACCAATGCCGAGGCTGCTCTCAGTAGGAGGCTCGGGGGTTGGCTGGAAGGCGTTGGGAGGAAAGGAGATTGCGGGGATCCCTGTGAGGGCCAGGAGGGTTGGGTTTCTTCGGACTGTAGCGAGCACTGTAGCATACACCTCGTCCACGTGGCACTGTTCCCCCGTGTTCTTGTCCAGCCACGTGGGGTCGCACACGCTCAGATAATGCTGAATCCCGAGCTGCTCCGCCAGCTGGCAGTGCCACGTGGTGGGGCTCGGTTGGCCGATCAGAGCCGACTCTGCCGCTGCTTTCTTGTGGTAGGGCGAGCGGAGGAGGAGGGAGAGGGGGAGGGAGGAGCGGGGCCGCGTGACGGGGTAGGGGAGGAGCTCGATGAGGGTGGAGTTGAAGGGCATGAAGAGGAGGTTGGTGAGGGCGGGCGATGTGGGGCCCACCAGGAGTATGGCTCTTGAAAACAATGCCTTGGCTGCACATGGGGAGAGAGCGGGAAGGTGCAGGAGCAGGAGAACGAAAGAGAGGAAGGGAAATAGACGTGAGGGGAAGAGAGAGAGAAGGCAGGGAAGGTGGGGCCCACCAGAAGAATGGCTCTTGAGAACAACGCCTTGGCTGCAAGGGGGGTGGGGCGGGAAAGCGTCAGCGAGACGGTAAGAAAGAAAAGGAAGAGGGGAGGAAAGGGGATAATGGTGAGAAAGAGAGAAGGATGAACGACGGGAACGCCTACACAAGCAAGAACAAAAATCAGATACTCGAACAAACCTTGGTGCAACGGCATGCGGTTGTTGTCAACAATCACTCATGCTTCCAAAAAACAGCTTCTTCAGCATCGTTCTAGTCACAATCACATGCATAGCTGCCTCTCTCTCGCATGCAAGCATGCGTGTATGCCTGTGCGCCTGTGAGTCCCCCACCTTGCAGCAGCGGCATGTGCTCGTCATATACAATCACCCTCCCATCCGAGAACTGCTCCTTAAGCATCGCTATAATCACATGCATGGCTGCCTCTGTCTCCCTCACACCCTCCCCCCCTCCCCCTCCCTCCATCACATGCGTACTCCACACCACAGACACCACCACCACCCAATCCTCCAGCAGCGCCCGCCCCACCACCAGCCCGTCAGGTGAATCTTCAGGTGGTGGTACTTGCAGGGGCGCAGGGAGGCGGGGGGTCCAGTTGGGGGAGAGAATGGGGAGGCCGTGTGGGGGCAACAGGTGGTAACCGCGGAGGGCCAGCCAGAGGGCGTCAGAGGCGCGCGGTGCAGAGGAGTGGAGTCCGGTGAGCGCAGGTGACGAGAGGCCGCAGAGGCTGGGGGTGTGGATGGGAAGGAGGAGGGTTCTCGCGAAGAAGAGGTGGGGGGCCATGCCGGTGGTGGTGGCAGCGGTGGGATCAAGACCAGTGTCTGGGTCGTTGTAAGAACCATCGCTGTTGGTGGTGCTGCTGCTGTAGACGCCGTGAAGGAGGCCTGAGGGGTGGTGGATGGCAAGTGGGGCGAGGTCCACCCCGAAGACATCCGGGCCGAGATGCGACAGCAGCTGCTATTTGGAGGGAGGGGGAGAGGAGGGATGGAGGTGGGGAGGGGGCGGCAAAGAAAGACGGACAGGGAGAGTGAGAAGATGAGGCCGAGGGGCGGTTTTTGAGGCGCCTCAAAAATCGAGGGGCGAGGTCTGGGTCATTGCAACTTTTGAGAGCCTATAGGATGCATGAATGGAGGCGCCTCAACAGTCGCCCCCTCATGTACTGCGCCAGCACTCCCCTCCAATGGACTCACATGGCGGTGGTTTAGCAGAATCGGCGACGGGGAGTGGGCATGAGGGAGGAGGTGAGCAGGAAGAGCACTGGCAGGGCAGCAGCAGCCGCACCAGCTCCCTCCCTTCCCTAGCGAGTTCCCCCAAACATCTCACAAGGCAGTGATTCCGCAGGATCATCTCTAAGCTGACTGAACCGCCCTGTCTCGCCCTGTGCCCACACCACACTCCCCTCCCCTACCCTGTGGACTCACATGGCGGTGATTCAACAGAACCGGGAAGCGACGGGCGGAGGGCATGAGGGAGGAGGCGAGCAGGAAGAGCACAGGCAGCAGCCGCACGAGCCCCCTCGCCCCCCCACTGTGCACCCTCGCCTGAGCCACCCACTCTCCTCCTCCGCTCCCCTCGCTCCCACCCTCCTCCGCGTCCTCCTGCTCGTGTTCATAGGGGAGCAAGTTCACCAGATGCTCATGCACACTCACGGGGGTGCCTGGGGGGAAGGAGAGGGACTGGAGAGAACGGAAGGGGGCACTGATTTATTTTCAAAGGCGCCTCAAACATGGCGTAGGCACAGGGGGGGAAACCAAGGAAGACGAGAGGTAGAGAAACCAGGGGGGGTACAGACGCACTGCAGCACAGAGGTAGAGATGTCGAGAGATTCATTTGACTTGATAAAGCAGGCTCGATTTCTCGGGTGAAATTCGAAGGGTTGGTCACTGCATTCCATGATTGCCCTTTCCATACCTCTTTCCCTCGTGCAGTGATAACACATGGGGCGGTTGACTTGGACACAGCTGCTGCCTCCACTCAACCGTCCACTCACCTTTCTTCAGCTTCTGCATCGCTGCTACCTGTCTCTTCCTTTAGCTTCTGCACTGCTGCATGATTCCTCTTCCTGCCACCTTCCCTCACGCTCACACTGTGCTCATGTGTTGGTAGCACATGAGACGCGTTGAACACTACACCCCTCTCAATCTCACTCTACTCCTCCCTACCCCTCCTCACCTTCTTCAGCTTCAGCGCTGCTACACGCTGCCTCTTCCTGCCACCTGCCCTCGTGCTGGTGCACGCCCCATGCACTGAGAACACATGGGACGCGTTGAACACAACACCCCTCCCATCCACAAACACATCTCTCAGCAACACCACCCCTCCCTGTTCCACCACTCCTCCCATCTCTCCTCCCATCCCCACCTCCATCCCCTCCTCCTCCACCCCCTCCCCCTTCTCCTCCTCCCTTTCCTCTCCCCCCCCGCTTCCCACCGCCCGCGCCCCACGCTCAGCCTCTATGTAGTTAATCGCCTCCTGAGTGCGTCTAAATACCTCCTTTAGATGCAACTCTAACCCTTCTTTAGGACTCTCCTCCCCAGCAACCTCGTCTTTCACAAGGCCTCGCTTCTGCCTCTCCTTCTGCCTCTCATTCTCCATCACCTTCTGCTCTCGCTCCTGCTCCGCCCACAACCATTCTTCCACAAACTCCCTCACCTCGTCCTCGTCCAAGCACATCTCGCCACGTGTCACCAGGGGGCGCGGCCAGAGCCATTTCCAGTGTTCACAGTCCTGCTGCACCGCCACGCTCCTCCCACCAACTGGTGCGCCGCTCCCACCCGCCCTACTGCCCGCCCCACCCACTGCGCCGCCTCCCCCGCTCGCCCTGTCCGCCTGAAACTGCTGCATGAAGGCAGACAGCCCCGCCAAAACCGCGCTGCCCTTGCTTCTCTCGCTGCTCTTGCTGCTCTGGCTGACTGGGAGGGCAGCAGTGGGGGTATCGTCAGCTGCCATGGGTCGCCACGCGCACGCATGGATGTGCGGGGAGGGGGCGTTAGGCGAGAAGAAGCCCCACTGCTGGAAGTCCGGACACACTCCTCGTGATGCTGTCGCTGCTGCTGCCCTGCCGCCCGCCTGCTGCTGCTGCTGCTGCGCCTGCTGCTGCTGCTGCTGCTGCTGCTGCGCTCGCTGCCACTCCAGCTGCTGCGCGGATCGCGGCGCGCGAATGAGGTCGGCCAGAGGCAGAACCACCAGGGACGATCCCTCCACCGCCGCCTCTAGCGCCGCCGCCGCCCCCGTCCGCTCCCGCTCACCCCGCGGATCCTGCGCATCCCCCTCCCGCTGATCCCCGTCGCGCTGATCCCACTGGTCCCGCAGCTCCGCTTGCTCCCCATGCTGCGCCTGCTTGCGCCTGCCGTTCCGCCGTCTGCCCCCGGTGCTGCCCGGTTCCGCTGATTCTGCGGGCTGTGGGCGGAAGCGGAGCAGCGGAGTGAGGTTATGCGGGGTTACAGAAGCGGCGAAATCCGCGGGCTGCGCGCGCAAGGGGAGCCGCGCAGCGGAGTCTGGTCGCAACGACCGCGCGGATCTATGCTTGCTGCTGGACGCATGCGATGCTCCGCTAAGAATGAACCCGTTTGCGCTACAGCAAGGCCGAGTACAGTGCAGGGAATCTTTACAAAGATCTGGATGATAGGGCGTGAGGAGGAGAATGATGCAGGTGAGGAGAAGCGACGCCTTGACTCTGCAGGTACGGCGACAACGCGATTGTGCGTATCTCCCGGCCATGGCGGAAGGGGCTATCAAGGAGAATTATCTAGATCGGTCGGGAGCTACACATAGCTTCGAATACAATTTGCAGGCCACTTTCGGATGAGAAGATTCTTCACTTGCGACGGCTGGTTTGGTCGCTAGTAAACAAGCGATTGTCGCCATGAAATCGTCGCATTCGCATCAGGCGACGCACTGGCGCGACTGAACGGGACACGGCGAATTGTTGGGACAGAGAAGACGCAGGTCGAGCGATTAGCGAATTGAACTAGCATTTGAGATAGAAAAATAAAATCGAGTTGACATGACGATAGGTGCTGATCGGTGAACGCGTGATTGATTGGTGGGTGCGGCGGGGGGAGGTTTGGAATCAAGGTGAGCCGAGCTGACATTTGAGGCAGGAGCTTCGCTTCTGTTCAGTAAAAGCGGTTCAATACGACACTGTACGGTCTGATATTCAACCGCTTTCAACCGCCTTTTACCATCTTGAACACTGATACGTGAAGTGCAATCAGATTTTGATGTTCTTGTTATGCTTTGCTTTGCCGTCACAACAAGAGCATGTGCTTGGTGGAGCACACCTTCCCCTGGTTGTCCAGAACATGTCATACACTACTATTGTGTCTTATTATCTTCAACAATATCATTGTCTTCACCTGGATTCAATATTTGTACCTAGCAATAAGAAAGTGCAAGACCAATGGCAAGAGAAATGGGCATAAATTTTCTAAGAAAACCATTATTGTTCCATGATTGAATGCATGCAAGACGCATTTATTTGGAAATGCATCCTACTTTTGTTGAGGGAGCAGCCTCATTACAATATTGTAGATGAACTGGGACCATGTATCCTCTGGTCCAGGTGAGCAGTAGTGTAGGCAATCCAGCCGTGTGCCTCCCACGTCCCCCCTGTGCCCATCTGGTCTGAGAGCAGTCATAGGGTCCACATCCATGTACACTCCCCCGTTCTCCTCCACTATCGATTTCACCAACTCGTTTTGAAGCTTGAAGTTACCCCATTTGTAGGGCAACTGCTCTGGGTCCTGCCTTTCCTTCAATGGCCGGGTGTGCTCCAAGCAGTTGAGATGGCCTGGTGCAGTGGTCCTGTATATCACGAGCTTGTCAGGGTGATTGTAACGAATGAAGCGCATCATCCGAGTTACCGACTCCACCACGTTCTCGTTCACCTTATAGTGTGCTCCACGATTGATGACCAGCACATGGGAGTTGCGTATACCAGGAACCTCCATCCAAGGGGTGCTAATCCATCTTATCCGCTCCAGCTTTTCCTCGTTCACAGGAATTAATCTCCTGTTTGCCACATAGTGTACACTCAAACCTGGGCACCCAGCTCCCTCAAATGTGTACTCCATACAAGTCAGGTCCACCTTTGATCCGAGAATTGTTGTCCACGTCATGCACTTGCGCCTCGTGATAACGTTCGCAGGCTTCGGAATGTGCTTGACGATGTTGTTCACGAAATTCACATGGGATTCCCGAGACAGGGAATCCCCGAGAAACGCAACGCGCAGCCCGCCTTTTCTCCGCCGCGCCAGCTCACACAACCCTCGACCGTCAAACCTAGAAAATAGTTCTTGCGGGTTCAGCACCTCGGAACTAGGCACGGCCAGCTGTGCTGCTCCGAAACCAGTAACCTTTGGACACTTGTTCGTTGGGACCACCCACTCGTACTTGAGCGTATCTCTAACCTTCCAATCAGCTGCAGCTGCTGGTCCGTGTGCCGCGATCTTGTCCGCTTTGGTCGACGCGATTCCGCCTGCGGCTTCCCATTCCGCGTCGCACTTCTCGACTCCGTGATCCAGCCACGCCAGTACCCGCGGAGTAGCATTGAAGCGCCACTCCCCCTTCTCTGCCACGCACTCCGCCCACTGCCGAAATCCCGCCACCTGGCCCACCCCCTTCCGAAGCCTCGTCCCCGGGATGAAATCGCGGAAATCCCCTAATCTGCTGACGTCATCGGGGGGGAAGGTCACCGGTGGTAACCCTGTGGCTTCGCGCAGCACCGGGTTCTTCCGCAGAGATGCGGTTACCGTGGCGTAGACCTCGTCCACGTGACACATCTCGCTTTCATCCATGTGGTTCCTCTCAGGATCGCACACGGACAGCAGGTGATGCACACCCACGCGCTCGGAAAGCCTGTAGTGCCACGTGGCAGTGCTCTGTTGGCTGGACAACTTCCCGCCCGATTTCCCATCTCGCTGCGAATCCTCAACCTTGCTCTTGCTAGACTCCAAAGTGCCGTTCACAACGTACGGTAAGATCTCGATAACCGTCGAGTTAAACGGCATGAAGATGAGATTCGAAAGCGCAGGCGACGTGGGTCCCACCAGCAGAATCGTTCGCGAGAACAACGCCTTGGCTTTTCGCAGAGGCAGATGCTCCTCGTACACCACCACGCGCTCCTCCGAATACAACTCCCGCAGCATCCCCGCAATCGCCTCCATCGCCTCCTCCGTGTGCCGCGTCGCCGCCGTCCGCATGTTCCCGTCGCCCACGCCCCCGCCGCCGCGATCCATCACGTGCGCGCTCCACACCAGCGACACCACCACCACCCAATCCTCCGGCAGCGTCCGCCCTACCGCGAGGTGGTGCAGCGGGTGCAGGGCCGGCGGAGCGGATTGCGGGGGAGAGGTGGCTTGCGCGGACGCGGGGAGGCGGGGGGTCCAGGCGGGGGAGAGGATGGGGAGGCCGTCGGGGGGCAGCAGGTGGTGGCCGCGCAGGGCCAGCCAGAGGGCGTCAGGGGCGCGCGGCCGGCCGGAGGAGGAGAGGCCGCACACGCTGCTGGCATGGACGGGCTGGATGGGGGGAGAATGGGGGAGGATGCGAGATGATGGGGAGGATGGGGGAGAAGAGGGGGAAGAAGGAAAGGAGGGGATGGGGAAGGAAAGGGGGCAAGGGGAGAGGGTGAGTGGAAAGGAGGTCCAGATGGGAATCAAATGTTAAGTGAAAATGAGGTATCCCCACACACACAAATGCACATAAGGTGAACAGCAGATGGCATGCGTACCATGAAGAGTGTCCTTGCGTAGAAGAGGTGGCGATGGCCCTCGTGATGCTGCCTGCTGGCTGGTAGGTGATGCACCGACAGCGACGCCAAGTCCACCCCGAACATGCTGCGACCCAGATGCTCCAGAAGCTGAATGTGGTAGCAACAGGGGAGGATGGGAAAGAGGGAGGGAGGGGGGGCGGGTGGGGGGAGGAGGAGGGGAGAAGGGAAAGAGGAACGGGAGAAAGGAGAACAAGTGGTTGTTTGGAGCGGGTCAGCCATTCTTCCGGTACCTGTATGTGACGACAACAACTTAAATGCCTAGTCTTTGAAGAAGCTGGTCACTAGGTGTTGCCGGGACTCACGTGTTCGCTCCGCAGCAGCAGGGGGTACTGCCTCGCGGCGGGCATGAGCGCAGTCGCGACCAGGTACAGCGCGGGGAGCAGCCGCGCCAGGAGCCGCTCCTTGCCGTTGTGCAGCCGCGCCTGCGCCACCCAGTCCGTCCCTCGCAGCCCCCGCTCCGCCATCTCCGCCTCCTCCGCCTCTTCCGCCAGCTGCTCCGCCTCCTCCTGCTCGTACGGCAGGAGGTTCACCAGGTGCTCGTGCACGCTCACGCGGGTCCCCGGCGCAAAGGAAATCGAATCTTTCAGCGCCTTCACTGCGCCGCCCTGCCGGTTCCACTGCCCCCGCCCGCACGCGTCCACAGCAAACACGTGGCTCTCGTTAAAAACAGTCCCCTTAGAGTTCACAAACACGTCATCGAAGCGCAGCACTCCGCCTCCCCCCAGCGCGCCTACTTCCCCCACCTCGTCCGCCTCGTTCGCCTCCAGCCGCGACCGCTGCTCCCCGCGCCTCTGCCCCAGCGCCGCGCGCACGCGCTCCATAAGCTCCGCCGCGCCCACGAGCTCCGGCAACTCTTCCTCGTTATTGTCATCATCGTTAGAGTCATCGCCGTCCACTTGAAGCTCGTCCTCCTCGTCAACGCAAACCTCTCCGCCCGTGACGAGCGGTCGCGGCCAGATCCAGCGCCGATCGCGGCACTCGTTCTCAACCGCGCGGCCTCTCTTGTCTTCGAGAAAGTCAATCATAAACAGCCGCAGAGCGACGGACGGGGAGGAGGCGCTTGGGGGGAAGGCGGAATCCGGTCTGCGCCATTTGCAGGCGGAGATGCGCGAAAGCGCGTCTTTCCAGGGTTGGAACTTCGGGCACGGCACGTAACCATCTGATTCCGCGAATGACTGTTTAGCAGCGGCAGCGGCGGCGGGTTGAGCCTGCGCCGCGCCGCGCCGGCGGACGAGGAGCATTTCGCTGAGCGACGCGACGCTCATCGCGGCGCCGTTGAGCGGAATGCGGAGCTCGGTTGGCGCCTCCGTGCGCTCCCGCTGCGCCAGCTGCACCATTCCGCCGCCTCTGCGCGGGGCTTGCGGCCGTTGAGCGGCGCGGAGAGTTGCGGCGGCATTCAACTCCGCTTGCGAGAACTGGATTCGCCGAAACTTCGTTTCGGTATTAGGGTTCGGAACGGCGGCGGCGTCTGCTACGTCTAGGCCTAATGTAGAGGAGTCTAGGGTTGCTAGGAGTGAAGACACGAGGAGAGAGAGAACGAACAGCGAAACTCTGAGTCGAGTTTTTCTAACGTGGTCTGCCATATCTTGCATGCAAGAGTTTTCAACGAGTAGCTTCAAGCATGGGAAGGAAATATATAGCAGAACTTATATGACGCGTACTAATAGTCCAATCTGAGTCTCGATGCAGAGGCGTGTGCACCTATACTCCACATACCTTCGACAGGAGACGTTTCGGAAAACTAGGAGTCTAAACTGGATGTCAGCGTGTCATTCCCTGAATCCCTGCTACGCTGAATTCTAGGGAATGGAGAAACCAACACTGATATGTGGCTGGCTGCAAAAATGGCGGAGCGGCCCGCCTAATGTGTGTGCAGTTGATTGTTAGGCATCGCATGTGGCGCGCCGCGTGGAGTAGGGTTGGAGGGAGGGGGAGGTACATGCAGAGGCGAAGCCATGTTGAAGCAAAGAATACCTGGAGGTGTCAGGCTGACCTTGGTTTTGCGAGGTATTTGGCCGTGTGCGAAGTCTGGCGTCTGGACGAAATGAACGGTTGATCTCGCAATTCTTTTCGTGAAATTATGCTGGCTTGCAATCGTGTCATACGGGTAACTTACTGCTTACAGGAACTTGAGGTTTGTCCCCTCACCCCCTGTTGACAGGGCCCTGGACAGGTTGCAGGAACAGCCCACACTCGCGAACTTAGCTGACAAAACTGGTGTTTGCTAGGTCGAGATTGTTGGCGAACAGTCCCACATGATGGAGCACTTCCGCCAGGTAGAGCTGGCCTCCCACTGGGCCTGTGAGCCACACTCCCCAACCATTCCCCACACTCTACACCAGCTAGCGGCAGGTCTCAGGTGGGGGGGGACAGGTTCCTGAAATTCACACTCTCAGCTCCGTACCTGCGGTTGAGCACGATATTTATTCCAGAATGGTTTTCTAGCTTTGCCACTCTGAACCCTAGTAGATTGATAACCATTTTCTTAAAGCTCGCAGCCCAAATTGAGAAGCGCACTGAACAACCTAGTAATCCTGATGGGGAGGAGTGTGTGAAACCAAACTCAAAAGTGGAAACGGAACTTGCATCAAAAGCCGCCTGAAAAACACCTGTGTCGACCTTCCTGAACTTGTGCAGTTTGGGCTGCGAGCTTTAATACGGTAGTAGAAATTTCTCCAGGCAAGTAAGCCTATACACGTCAAGTTTGGCCATACTCCTCATCACCCCCACTTCATGGTAAATTGAAAATTAATCCGGGCTGTTCTACTTATCCCAACTTATGCCAGCAAGGCAATGCTCTCTAAAATGGAGAATGTTTTATACGCAACGCCATTCAATCTTACAGATTTGAAGTACCTTGCATAAATACATGGCATGGCATCAAGGCTTGCTCTTTGCATCCGACAAAAGGTTGCAGATCTCACTACATTCCACTAGACTGCAGCCAATACGATGGGAGGAGGGACGTGCAGAAGAAGGGATGGAGATGGAGAGTCATGAAGAGGTAAGGAAAAAAAACAAAACAAAAACAAACAAACGAACAAAGCCACAACACCAGAAACACACACACATGCGCACGCGCGCGCGCGCACACACACACACACACACACACATACCCCACCACCCACACCCACAACCACACCCCCACCCACACCCGCACCCACACTCACACCCGCACCCACACTCACACCCACACCCACACCCACACCCGCACCCCCACCCCCACCCCCACCCACACCACGCACGCACACACAAGGTTGAAGCAAAGAGCAAAATACTCAGAGGAAAAGCTTAGTTTTGAGGCGCCTCAAAACTAAACTACTCAGGGGAAAAACAGGATATGGTATGCCACTGTTCACAAACATCATGGTTTAGGGCAAGTTATGAGTCCAGGCTGCTAATTTTCCCTCCCAGAAGTCCCACTCACCAATATTGTCTTGACCTGAATTCGGACTTGAAAACCACAATGGGCCTGAAAGAGGGGAGAATTGTGTTCAGAATACTTGCTCAAGTCAAGATCAGTGGAAAAAAGGCAGGGTGGAGCTACGGCACACAGCAGCAAGGCCCTTAATGGTTGGAAAAGAATCCCAATACATCGTCTTTACATGCACAGTATTGAAATACATAGTGGTGCACACACATTCCACCATGTATCCCCATTCACGCGTGGCAAACAGCCTTACCTCTCAACGTTGATGGGCCCTTCCCCAGGTGCTCCTGCCCCTCCTCTTATGCACGTGCCCACACACTTGCGCAAACACTTCTCTGCTGCCGGTGTCTTGGGCTTCTGAATCCGCCGCGGCTTTTTGTCATCCTCTGATGGTGTGGAGAGCATAGGGACGAAAAGCAGGTGGACTGAGAGAATAGGGACGAGGGAGACTGAATAAAAGGGGGAGCGTGAATGTTCACATAGCCCACCACTTGCGCGGACAGAAACTTCTCCCCTGCCGCTGACTTGAGGCTTCTGAACCCACTATAATCGCCTGTTACCCTCTGTCTATGTGACGAGGAGAACAGGCATATATGTATATGAAAATGATAGAAGAGGACACCAATTAGGTGCCATTGAGTTCGATACGTGGCAGCAACTTAGGATTCAACACCAGTAGTTGTTGGTAGTACTTTGTAAAACGCTCTTGTGTAAAAAATTCGGTGGTAACCGGTTTCGGCGTACAAGCCTTCTTCAGACCACAAGCTGTCCTACTGAACGAGTACTACTTATATGCCTAGAAAACGTCAACCTAGACTCTGGCCCGCACGGATAATCTTCGCTGCGGCGAGTACGGGGACAACAGGCAGAAGATGAAATGAGAGCTAAAGTGTAACAGCAAAAAACTACTGTATACTAACACTTCTTAGCAGAAATCAAATAACTGCCAACTCTCTTTGGTAACCTCCATGCGATAATAGCTCTCCTTGTAGAAAAAGTGTCGTGTGCCATGGAAACGAGGTGACTTTTGTGTCGACTCAAAAGTCACCTCGTTTCTATGTATATGAAAATGATGCTTCACACAAGAATCGACAACTGATTGGCTGAGAGTCCAATAGGGAAGCAAATAGGGCAGGCGAGCAGAACACAACAGGCCAACAGAGGAGAAATGGAAACGGGATTTCGTGGACACCTGACAAATCACCTGAAAGAACACCCGACAGAGGACCTGAAAGCACCTGACAACCTGACAGCGCACTTGCGGGCGACTAAGGCCCCCTTTGGCGAACGTGAGAGCGACTGGGAAACCTGAGAGCGCACCTGAGAGCGACTGGGGCACCTGACAGCACACCTGAGAGCGACTGGGGTACCTGACAGCACACCTGAGAGTGACTGTGGCACCTTAGAGCGCACCTGAGAGTGACTGGGCCACCTGGGGGCGTACCTGAGAGCGACTGGGGCACCTGAGAGCCCACCTGAGAGCGACTGGGGCACCTGAGGCGCACCTGAGAGCGACTGGGGCACCTGAGAGCCCACCTGAGAGCGACCGGGGCACCTGGGGGCGTACCTGAGAGCGACCGGGGCACCTGAAAGCCCACCTGAGAGCGACTGGGGCACGTTGTCGAAAGTCTCAGAGGGCAGAGGCGCAGAGGCCCCACTGAACGGCGCTGGCATGGCCTGTGCACTGTTCCACGACCTGCCCCACGCACTGCCCCACGCACTGCCCAGCGATCTGCTGCTTGCTACCCTGCCTTGCTCCATCGCGGGTGGAGTGTGCTGCGGAGGGAGGGGGAGGGGCAGCGGGAGGAGGATGCAGGCAACTACTGCTGCTGCGAGCGCGGGAGAGAGCCAGCGTGCCTGCGGGGGAGTGACAGGGCAGACTGCTTCTCTGCTTTGCCGTGGCGGAGCGGTGCTAGAGATGCTTTGCGGAGAAGCTGTTTCCACGGGCGGCAGCTGCGTCCGTCTGTCGCGCTCGTTTTCACTCTCGAGAATTCTCAACAGCTGCGTCTGTTTTTCCACCTCGTTATAATCACACGCGATCTGTTCCTCGGTGATTGTAACTGCGCTGAATCTGGTGCTTCTGCAGCACGCTGCTGTGAGGAATGGGAGCGCAGCGCGGCGCGCGGTGGTCGGAGAGGGGGCGTGGCGGGCACGCGCGGAGAGCCCGGGGGAAGCGGAGGGGAGGGAAGCTGGCGAGCGGCGCGGGCAGGATTGTCGGAGCGTCGAGTAATGATGGGACAGAGAAGGAGTAGCAGCCGTCGTTATTTTCGCGATGCCAGCTGGGCAGTGAGCGTGTGGAAGCTGAAACGACGCGTGATGTGCCACTTAGAAACTTGGTTGTGTGAGTCCCGCCCTAGCGATGCTGCTCAAATTCTTCACAACAAAATGTGAATTGAAGGGGTGTGGTTCAGGCGATCCTGCAAGTTACAGATACAACTTCGGTTCAGATGCCAATTGTTACCGTATGACTTCATGAACAAAATTGAGTAATTGACTTCATGGCTGCTGGTTAAAGCATGGGTAGGTAACCTAAAAGAGAACTTGGGGTTCAGACTTGGCAAGGTTGAAGTCAGAGTTGGGATTATAGAACTTTAGTGGTTGCCATGAAGATGAGTGCACATCATAAAAGCATCATGATACAAGTGTGCTTACTAGGATTCAGTTGAGGCCAATCCCAGTTCAGAACAGCTCATATCCCCAAAGACTGTCCCTTGCATTATCAAGGAACAGCGCTCCTAGCATAAACTTGAATCACTTGGACCTATGGTCGCGCTCTCACACGAAGTATATGAGGAACAATACCGTGCCGACCAAACTCACGACTTCAACAATCAGTTGTGTCCTTGAAGACCCTTCCCTCGAGCCACATGCAGCCACTCCTCCACTCTCCAACCTCCTTTCCTACAATCTCCGAAGGCTCTTTTTCCTCGCATCCACCTTTTTCTTCTCATGCCCTCCTCTCGCTCCATTCTCCCCCTTACTGCCTGCACTGCGCAGGCCCCCGGTCGACCCCCCAGCTGCAACACCCACACCCTCCTCCCTCTGCACTTCAGCGTTGGCAATAGAGCGGTTGGGAGCAAGAGGAGCACTCCCACCACCAGCACCACCGGCAGCAAGGGCTGACGGAGACACAGAGACAGCAGCAGCAGCAGCAGCAGCAGCAGCAGCAGCAGCAGCAGCAGCAGCAGCAGCAGCAGCAGCTGCGGAACCTGCCATTTCTGCAACAGCAGCGGCGGTGGCAGCGGCAGCGGCAGCAGAAGCAGCGCCAGGAGCGAGGTGGTCTGAAGCAGAGACGCTCTGGCGAAGCGTGTGGTGGGGGCAGGACGGGTGTTGACCTGGTTGACTTTGTTGACCTGGTTGGGAAGCGGCATGCTGCGGCATGGACTTGGAGCGGCTCATGCTGAAACCTGCTGCTGCTGCTGCTGCTGCTGCTGAAGATGGGGCGTGGATGGACGTAAACAGGCGAGCATGTTTCGCGTAGGCCTCATAGTCCTCTAGAAGAAGCTTGCCTGCATCCTCGTTAAGAGCTGATTCCGGATAAGGCTCAATGAGCAAGCACCGAACAACCTGCAAGAAGCAACGGCGATAGAATGTTGATGAGGTCATGAAGCAGTGCGTACACAGCAGTTGTAGTGACCTCAGAGATTAAGGTGTGCGAGAGCATAGAAACATGGGAAGTACTAGACAAAAACGTTTAGTGAGGATTGTAAGACGTTTTATGGGCGAGATATGCCTTACAATGAGTACGTGCCGCAATCCAAGGCATGGCTTCCAGTCCTTCTTCAGGATGTTCACACAGATTTCTCCATTCTTGGCCACGTTCGGGTGGAATATCCGAGTCACAAAGAAGCCCTTTGGTGGAGCGTTTGGGAATTCGGGACCCAACACGAGCTTCATGCGAAACGCTCCGCCTTCGTAAGGTGTGCCGACTGGAGGCGAAGTCACAAAACGACAAAAGATAAACTATAGAGTTATAAACAATTCAGTCTGTGGATAAAAGTTATAGGTTCAGCTGTAGAGGATTTGTCGTCTCACCTGGTCCTTCAATCTCCGCATGGACGGTTGAGATGTTGTCATCATTCAGAAGCACGCGTATGCCTTCTGGAGGCGAGTCTTGGAGGGACCGAAGCTCTTTGACTATCACCCGAACCACCTTTGGTGGCAAATTCTCGTTGGATCCTACAGGGAGAACCACGGCCTTGGGGAAGCGAGGAGACGGGAGCGGAGCAGAAAACAATGATTAGCTGCAAGAATAAGACTGTCGATACTGAATTCAAGATACTAAAAAAAAGGTTGCGTGCCGACAGAGGTGCTATACCATTCTTAAAGAAAAGGTTCTTCAGAGATTGAATCCGGCTTAGCAGGAACAAAAAGTAACTCGGCGTCTCCCTGAAGCTTCTCGGAGAGCAGCAACCGAAACAACTAGTATAGTAATGCTTGTAAATCTACAACTTGAGGTAGATTCGTAGCTGCAGGAGCAACACCGTGGGCTAACAGACTGCAGAAACTGAAGGTGGCACACTAGCCGTCAGCAAGGTCCTAGCTATCTAAGTGGACGCTAATGTTTGCGGATGATGAAGCAAATCCACTCGCAACGGCGACTGTCATCACAGAAATCAACCACCTAGAAGCTTTATGTACTTCCTTGGGTGCGTGTTGACCTTTTGCGGTTCAGTGAGGTTTTGTGCATTCTAAGAAACAATGCGAAGGGTTGAGTTGGAAGTTCACGGTGTCGAAAAGTTGGAACCTTGAGTTGCCTGCACTTGGTTGTGATTCTTCAGTTCTCCTGTTCACGGGCTCGTGTGAACGGTTTTTGACAACCAGGGCAAACTGTCACACACAGATTTCCTTGGTTTGGTTGGGGGGAAATGTGGGGAAGAAGGCGGGATATGGGTTTTGGCGCGTGTCAGAAAGCCAGGGTGTGGAAGGGGGGACGAAAATGTGAGGCGGCAACCCGACCTTCATAAGACAAACAGTAACGCGGTTTTTGTGTATCAATGTGTGAAGAACTTTGTGAAGAACATACATACGTATATCACCTACATCCACAAAAAAAAAAAAAAAAATGATCAACATGCAAATCACCTACACTTACCATGTCAGACAAAAAGAAGCTCCTTGCAGCGAAGATGTTGTGGCACGTTCTTGCCACACAGCCGAACCCAAGGAGGCACCGAGGTACGGGTATGTTGCCAAGCCTAAAACGTCACGTCTCAACTCACTGGTAGGTTCGGTTCGGTTTTGTGGCTGCTGGCTAGCTGTTAGGTTTGATCTCGAAGTAGACCAATGAGTTACGGACACGGCAGCCAATCGGGTGCCCCATACCAGCAGTCTACCCCAGCGGCAATCACGCTAGGACATGAAATTCATAACTGAAGAGTGGAGCTGATGCTGGCTTTGTCAATCGGATAAAAATGGACGGCTGATCATGCTCGAGTCAAAATTGCTTCGGGAATCGGGATATCCGTTCGCCAGGTGGCTTTGGGAATTACTGCTGTTGGGGAAATTTTGAGTCAGGCTCGGCAGTCAAAACCTCGTACAAAACCATTGTGTAACGTATTAGAACACTGAAAAGTACAAATAAACTGCTTGAGACCCATCCTAAACATGAAGCTCGAGGCTCCGCAGCAGTCTTATTGCAATAATGCATTTGCCTTCACAGCACAGCACCCTCGCCGCCACGCAGTTACCGATGGTTTCGGGGTGACAAGGCGCGAACAGGGAAGGAGCAAATTGTGAAGGGGAGTTTTTCAACACAAGCCGCTTCGCCTTTGTGCCACCTTCGCCAACCGAGGCCAGCCCGCGCGCCGCACCCTTTCGCGCATGGAGAATTTCGTTTTGATCAATTCAACTTGACTCGCCCCCTCGGCTTTTTCGCCCCGCAAAGCATTGCAATTCCCTACTGGAGTCGCGATCACGTCCCTTACGTTTGTCCCGTCACAAGAACACCCAGCCCAGCCCAGCCCAGGCTGCAATGCACACAACAGAAAAACGGGTTGCTGTAAACTCAGGGCGTGTCCAGCTCGTTCATTTCGGGAAATTTAGTACCTCCTCACGATCCGGGGTTCAAAACTGATCCTGTACCTATAAACGAATACGACCTGCGTCGAGTCCACCCTTTTTGTCAATTCGAGCGCGCGGACACATTCCCCCCACACAGACTTCAACAGTGCAGGGGCCGTGTGGAAACTAGGTAACCGGTTCCCTCGTCAACCAAAGCGTTGGAATTTTCGCCAAGCCAACACTTCCACTACTGGTTTTGGCGAGTGTCAGGCTGCAGTGGCGAAATCGAGCGCGCGATACGATGGGCACGGACTGTTGTGGGCAGGACGCGGTTCTGTACCGTTGTTCGATGCGAACGCTGATTTCTGTAACGTGCGTCACACGATTCCAGGTACGTGCAGGGGGTGTGCCGTATCGTGAACGGGAGCTGATCGTGTCTGGCATTTTTGTAAAATTAAGTGTTACAACGCAAAGGCTTTACGAACAGTAAATGAACGAGCTGGACACCCCCTCAGGCTTGTTTCTCTCCCTGCCACCCACCTTTCTCCTCCCGAACAGCAGGCAGGAACATAGTGCTCCCTTCCCAGCACTATCCAGCTAGCTCATCGCCATTGCTAGGGCCTGGGCAGCACAACCTGATATTATCGCACTCTTGTTCCTAAAGAATTTTCCCTCGCCCCAGCTTCTGTTCATCGGAAATCTTCGAGAAAACGTTAGTTTAAAAATTCAGAACCACCCAACAGCCCCGTTGGCCTACATTCTCACCGAGGTTTTTTAGGTTCTCTGTTTGCCAACCACCAATTCATTTTATCTTCTCGCTATAGTCTGATGCGTCAGGCATACGAGGCGATCCAGCTCTTAGCACTCACCCTGTAGTCCTTACCCCAGTCAGTTTTGCCGCTGGCGCTTCCTAGAGTTAAGAGTGTATCGACGCTCAACAGAGTGAAGTGCAGTGGAGGCATTTGCTGCGGCTGTAGCAGCTGTGGCCGCTGTAGCGGCGGGAGCTCTCTACCCGGCGCCATGGTTGGCAGTCCGACGCCGGTTCTCGCTAAGCTGCTGCCAACGGCCGGCGGGCTTAAGGGCGGCGGGTCCAGTGGAGATGAGTTCGAGAAGCTTCGGAGCAACTCGTTCGTGCAACGGTCCGCTCGAACGATGTGGTGGTTGCAAGCGTCGTGTCTCAGCCTCTTCGTTTTCGTCATGTAAGGATTTCGGGATTTCGTACCAATGCGTGAAAACGCCACGTGACGTAAATTCCAAAACGCTTCACACCCCAAAAACTCAACAGCTACTTAAACCATGCATGCTGATGTCGGTTCTAGCCTGCTCTCCGCTGTTATCTGAGCGCGCATCGCACGCGATCTCCTCCGATTCACGGAAGAAAACGCAAAATCTGTACGATCATGTTTCTGTTCACTTTCAGATTCGTTTTTCACGCCAATCTGGGATTCAATTGGGTGGGTCTTCTCGTAAAGACGGTTTTCGGTTGTGCTGGTTTGGAGTCGGACAGTTGAAAAACACTGCGGAGCGCACTCGAGCCTTGCTGGTTCCTTGTGCTCCTTCCCTGCAGCAGGCTCTAGCCTTGGCACTGCCTTGCCTCGTTTCGGCTCAACCGATACCACTAGATCCAGTGCCCCTTTTTCCCATCTAGGCTGGCAACCTTTTGCTATGGCTTACCGTTGCGCTCCGTCCTTGTGCCGTATCCCCACGATTTCAGGGCGATCGGCATACTGACGCGTTCGCCGCCGCAAACGGCGGGGATGCTGGATGCAGAGCTTCCGACGTGGGGAAGCGCGGCTTGGGAAGACCAGGTGCGGTTGTCGGCAACACCGAGGGTTGGCGGAATGGTTGTGCTAGTAACGGGCGCAGCGGGCTTCGTGGGTTCGCATACGTCTCTCGCGCTAAAGGAACGCGGCGATGGTGTGGTGGGGATTGATAATTTCAACGACTACTACCCGCCTGCGCTCAAGCGAGCCCGGCAGCAACGACTCGAGAGCAAGGGAGTGTAAGTAGCGGGAACGTAGTGAAGTTTTTTTTATGTACACTGGAGATATGCTTGTTTTTGTGAGGTATAGTGCGATTCCCTTGTGCCTTACTCTTCCACAAACTGGGCTGTCTATCGCGTCCGAACAGGTTCATCGTCGACGGCGACATTAACGACGCGGCGTTACTCGCGAAGCTGTTCGAGCTCGTGAAATTCACTCACGTGCTGCAGCTTGCGGCGCAAGCTGGTGTTCGTTACGCCGTTGTCAATCCTCTCGCGTACGTCCACAGCAACGTCGCCGGTTTCGTCACGCTTCTCGAGCAGGCCAAGGTAACCATGATCATACGTTTTTTCGCCATTCGCTTGTTCGCAGCTGTTATTTTTTCCCATGACCCAGTCCCACAACGTGACTCGATCTCACCTGTCATTTTCCGTTCTCCCACCCTCTTTTCATCCCCTCCCCTCTTTCTTCCTCTTCTCATCTGTCCCCGATAGAGTGTCGATCCGGCCCCCGCTATAGTGTACGCGTCGTCCAGCAGCGTGTACGGGCTGAATTCGAAGGTGCCGTTTTCGGAGGACGACCGCACGGACCGTCCTGCGAGCTTGTACGCTGCTACCAAGGTAAAAAAAAAATAGCAATGCAAGGCTGAATCAAGGAAATATGGCTGTGCAGTTAAAGTCGTCTCTGAAACTCTTTCTAATAATACCTCCGTTTCCTCCGCCGTGGATCTTGCAGAAAGCCGACGAGGTGCTTGGGCACACGTATAATCACATCTACGGCCTCTCGATTACAGCACTGCGGTTCTTCACGGTGTACGGCCCGTGGGGTCGCCCCGACATGGCCTACTTCGCGTTCGCGCGAAACATCATGCAGGGCAAGGTGCGTCGCGGTGTAATCGAGTGTGTGTAGTGT